GCATTCAAGTGCTTCCTGTTGAAATTCACACACGGAAACCTTCCACAGAATCATACTGCAGTCATAAGGACAACATGGCCAAATTAAAGACTATTTCCCCAACTCAGAAGATGATTAACGTGGTAAGAAATTCCCTAAAATTCATTGGCATGGCTAGTCTTTAGCTGTTAAATCAGGCTCCTTTCAGTGCCAGACTATCCCTGCAGGACCACAAGTCATTGCCCTGGGGCTTCAAAATGATTCCACATTTTCCGATTGGGAATTAGGGAAACAGTCTCTAACAGTTTGTTTGACGTGATTTAAACTGATACCTAAACCGAGTGCTTGACAACGAATAAGCCTTGGGTTTCCGGTTCTTTTGTGGTTTTGATTAGAAAGGATCTCTCTAGGGGAGAGCAGGGAAGTAGGAGGTATAGGCTAGGTGCTAATTCTTTGAGATGGTGGAAGAAGCCAGCAATGTGTACTGGCTACATCTGCAAGGGAGTGGGGATGAATAACAAAAAACAATATAGCTATCATGTATTGAGTGCTTACTCTATACATGTTAGCAGTTAGGCAAGGCTCCAAACACCTTTCATACAATAACAGCCCTCACAACAACCTTAAGAAGCAGCACTATTACTATCCCCATTGTACAGATTACAAAACTGAGGCTCAGAGAGAAGGAACTTGTCCAAAATTACACTGCTAGTCAGGAAGAGAGCCAGGATTTGAACCCAGGAAGTGTGGTTCCAGAAAAGAATAAGCTGCAGGGTGGGGAGGGCAGAAGATACAGAATCTATACCAGCACTGTCCAACAAAATTTTCTGGGATTATGGAAACATTTGATATCTGTGCTATCCAATACAGGAGCCACTAGCCACATGTGAAATTGCCTAGTAATTCTGAGCAACTGAAGTTTTAATTTGATTTAATTTTAATTAATTTAAATTAAGATGTAAATAGTCACATGTGGCTAGTGGCTCCTGTATTGGACAGCACAGTCTATACTACAGAAAAAGTCCACTCTGATGACCAGTGAACCACCAAGCTCTAGGGATGGCTTCTGGAGCCACCTCCAACAGTTGTAGATCGTGCCCTGCACAGAGGCATCAACTGAGGGCTGAAGGCCAGCCCAAACACCATCTGCTGTCAGCTGTGGCAAGACGCTCCATCGGCAGGAAGAGGAATAAAGCAACCCAGGAGAAGAAGGAGAAAAAGAATGTTTTTTTTTTTTTTTGTGAGGAAGATCAGCCCTGAGCTAACATCCATGCTAATCCTCCTCTTTTTGCTGAGGAAGACCGGCTCTGAGCTAACATCTATTGCGAATCCTCCTCCTTTTTTTTTTTTCCCCAAAGCCCCAGTAGATAGTTGTATGTCATAGTTGCACATCCTTCTAGTTGCTGTATGTGGGACGCGGCCTCAGCATGGCCGGAGAAGCGGTGCGTCGGTGCGCGCCCGGGATCCGAACCCGGGCCGCCAGTAGCAGAGTGCGCACACTTAACCGCTAAGCCATGGGGCCGACCCCGTGAGAATGTTTTTTTTTAAATTGGTTTTTTGTAATTCATTCACCCAGAGGGGGTGCTCATTTTGCAATTTGCTCTAAAACTTGGTTTGTGCTAGTATACACTCCAAGACACTTCCCTATTTTTGTCTTATAACAACTCCGAGGACTAGGCCACCATCTACCTCCAGCGCCACCCTGATTCCTCTATCTGGGTTACTTTCCTGCACAGTCTGCCATGGAATGAGATACAGTTTCAAGACTTCCTTCCATTCCCTATCCCTTCTATAGCCACAGACTCTTTAAAGGTCTTCCCTGTGATTTTACCAATAATGACTCCAGGGAAAGCAAGAGGAGTTAATAGTATAATAAACACAGGGATGCTACCAACTTTTCAGACATCTTAAAAGCCTGTAGTAATAGATCTCCCTAGACTTCACTGCAACATAGTCAGAGCCAGGCTACTCCTTTTAAGGCTCAGTCCTCCGGCCCTTTCACTAGCAATTCTTTGAGCCAGATCTACTGAATCCTTCTCTCTTTTTATTCCTGAACTATAACACTCCTGAGTTGCTTATACTTCCTAAGTCCTCACCCCAAACTCGCATGTTCTCTAGCTTTGGATCCTACCAAACATTCAAAACGTATTTATTGAGCACCTATCATATGTCAGGCACCCAGGGAAACAAGACACAGTCCCTGCTCTGAAGGGAGACTGCAGCCTGGGGAGGCTACCACTAAGTAAACAGGAAATGACGATGCAACAACGTGCTGAGTCCTATGACACGGGAAAGTGCAAAGTACCGTGGGCATGTATCTAGACTTGAGAGGTCAAGGAAGCCTTTCTGGAGAGGAAGTGATATCTGAGCTGAGATAAGAAGGAGAAACAAGAGGCATCCAGGTGACAGGCAAGGCATGGGCTGCTTCCACTATTCTGTTTGAATTCCACTCTTCATTTGAGCGTGAAAAGTCTGTTTGAGGAACTGAAAGAAGTTCAGTGTGGGCTGGAAGGTAGGGTGCAAGAGGACTGGGGGTGCACGGAGGGACATGAGACAGGCTAGAGAGACTGACAGGAGCCACATCATCACGGGCTTTGTTTGTCATGCTCAAGAGCTTGGACTTTATCCTGGAGCCACCAGGGAGCCGCTGAAAGCTTTTAAGCAAAGGAGAAATAACAGGTACCACAAGCGGGCATGTGAAACTACAAAACCTCAAATGAGAATTATTTATATCAGGGAAAAAACCCCTCCAGACTGAACCACACAATCTCAGTGCCATCTGGTTTCACCTGTACTGCCTCTCAGCTGTGCCAGGAGGACCCTGTGGAACAAGGGAGGAGAGTGAATGTGATCCCCCAGGTAACTCTGGAGGTTTTCGTTCAAAAACTCATGTGATTTTTGCATTCTATTCCATGATATAGCTATGAGTGTCTTAATATACCAAAAATAGTTTTCATCAAGTCATCAGGAAACATGGACACTCTAGGATGAAAGCCCATGTTTATCCTACAGCTTCAGAGGTCCCAGACAGGGCCTTCCACACTCCAGTCTCTCAGAAGCAGTCTGAATGAATGGGGGACAAGGCCATGTGGAGAATAGCCTCCCAACGCTAGATCTCTGCTTCCCCAGCCTGGTATCACACCGACTAAATATCCCCATTCCTCAGAATGCTCTTCCCCGATCTGTGCAGTCCGTCCCCTTCATCAAAGCCTCCCAGGCTTGCCCTGCTACCACCCCAAGCTCCCTCCTAACTTCTCACGAGAGTTTGTGCACACTTCTGCAACAGCCTTTATCATACACTCTTATTTTTATATAGGGAATTGTGTTGGGTGCTGTCTTCCCCTCTACATTTTAAGCTTTAGGAGTGAAGAAACATGTTTCTTATCCCTGCTGCCCATTCAGTGCTTTACTCATGTGTGCTAAATAAAGTTTTATTGAACTGAATTAATTAACCTGGTCCTTTCTTCCTTGTTCTGCTGCTAATAATTCTAGGCTTTAAAGGAAAGGAAATGATTCAAGATTAATTTAGAAATTTGTAGATTTTGTAATTAATTGTAAATTTGTAGATATAGTCATGAATATCAAATACAAATTATTTTGTGGGGAGCTAAACTACCTTTTAACCTTGGGCATGATATAATTTCCCTTTTTAAAGGTAGACCAATCACTCAGACATTGCTGGTGGGAATGTAAAATGGTACAGCACTCTAGAAAATAGTTTGGCAGTTTTTTATAAGACTATATATGCAATTACCATATGACCCAGCAATTGCATTCCTGGGCATTTATTCCAAAGAAATGAAACGTTATATTCACATAAAAACCTGAACATGAATATTTATAGCAGCTATATTCGTAATAGCGAAAAACTGGAAACAACTAAGATATCCGTCAATGAATGAATGGTTAAACAAACTGGTACATCCATATCATGGAATACTATTCAGCAAGAAAAAGGAATGAGCTATTGATACACACAACAACTTGGATGGATCTCAAGAGTATTACGGACAGTTAAAAAAAGTCAGGTTCAAACAGTTACATGCTGTATGATTCCATTCAGTAACATTCTTGAAATGACAAAATTATCAAGATGGAAAACAGATTAGTGGTTGCCAGAGGTTGGAGACTTGGGGGAGTGGAGTGCAGGGGGAGGGGGTACAGGAGGAGGTGCGTACGGCTATAAAAGAGCAGCTCAAAGGATCCTTGTGGTAATGGAACTATTCTATATCTACACATGTGATAAAATCACATAGAACTACACACACACACACACACAAACGAGTGCATGTAACACTGGTGAAATCTGAATAAGGTCTCCCAATGCCAATTTTCTGGTTTTCATATTGCACTCTAGTCATACAACATGTAACTACTGGGAGAAACTAGGTGAAGGGTACGCAGGACCTCCCTGTACATTTTTTGCAACATCCTGTGGATCTATAATTATTTTTTTTAAGTTTTTTTAAAAAGTAGACACCAAAAGGAGACTGAAGCACTGAAGCAAACTGCCCATCTTCCTGGGTTTGCCAAAAATAATACAGGCTGTTCTTTTTTTTTTTTTAACTAGATTAGATTCAAAGGCTCCCAACACGACCACAATCAGTCCTCCTGTGAGTCTCCTGGATGTACTCACCAATAGTAGAGAGTATAGTTAGTGTCAGGACTTGTATTCCTTCCAGGGAGCCAAGTACACTTCATGTAGCTCAGGTTGTGCCAAATGCATTGGAGCTCAGTCACAGCCGACTCAGGATCACCTAGGACATCCAGCCAAGAGTTTAGGACCCTTCTTTCCTCGTAATGCAAACTAGCCAATCACTCTGGGGCATGGGGGACAGTGAGGGTGTTTCATGCGGCTTTATCAGAAAGCTAATTCCTAATCTCTCACCCCATTTTAGCCAGAAGGCACCCAGGACAGAGAAAACCCAAATCTAATTTGTTCACAACTTTATCTCTCACCTCCGGATACTAAGAAAACATCTTTACTACCACCAAGGGACCCAACTCTTGTATCCCTGACTGGAGAGAGAGGTTAAAGGTCAAATAATATTTCAATCATAGGAAATGACTATAGAATTCTTAAATGAACATGAAAATATAAACAACCCCTATATCTACCTATCTTTTAAAAAAACAACAAGTTCATTGAGTTACAATTTACCTTTCTGTCTTTTGATCAATACCAACACATCTTATTTCAAACATTAAACATTCCTCCTGAAGCGATTTGGGGAAAGGTAAGCATAACATAACTCTTCGTAGTTGCTTATTGTGTGTTATGACTCTAGGAGCCCTAAAATCTTTAAGATCTGAAATTTCTACCTTTATAAAGCTTTTTGAGTTAAGGCATCATCATGTCTCTAAATGCCTGTGTAAGATGCAAATTTGTTATCCCTCAGGACCCTTGAAGGGGTACTGTACTGAGCCATCATCAACCATTTCACTCTCATAATATAACTTAGGTTTTTTCAGATTATTTATTAACCTCCTAAAGAAATAAGAATAGGGGAGGTTAAGTTGTTTTAAACCATGCTCCTGGCCTCCGAGCGGTACTAAATTTTCTAATTTTACAAATATTACTTCACATGCTTTTCATCAGTGCAAGGCAGGTAGAGAGAACAAGCCACATAGTGCTAAGGTTTGGAGGTAGGAGATGGGGCCCTGCTCAACCAAGGGGCAACATAATATTAAGAAGTAATATGTATACAGCATTTACTCTTTGCCGGGCACTATTTTAAGTGCCTCACATATATTGATTTATGAACTCCTTTCAACAGTCCTGGGAGGTAGGTACTATCATCATCCCCGTTTTACAGATGAGGAAACTGAAGGGAGGAGGGACTAAGTGATCTGCCTAAGGTCACACAACTAGTAGCTGGTGGAGCTGAGATTAAACTTGGACATCTGGGCTCCGGGAGCCCTGCTCTTAATCAGTACACACTACTCCCTGCATGGAACACATGAGCCACAAGGACACTGGATGATGGGTGGGAAGGGAGTTGGGGGACACGATCAACTCGACTACTTGACAGCTTTTCCTAGGCTAATCTTGAATTGGAGCTAGGCGAGCATGCCCATTTTCCTTCTTTAACATCTTTTCCCAAAGATATCCTGCATATCCAACTAATCTCTATATAATGAGTAAGATAGCATTTTGGTTTTTTTAAGGCACTGAACCTGGAATCTGAAGACCTAAAGCAACTCACTTAGTTCCCTTCTTCCTCATAACATGGATCATGAGGGTAATAATACACACTTTGCTCACTTCACAAGATAAGCTCGTAAGGCTCTATTCAGGGGAGGGGTGTATGTGTGTATCACTTTCCAAATTATTAAGTGCTATATAACTATCAGGTATTGTTATTCAAGTTGTGAGCCCCTTGAAGGCAGGGGCGTCCTCATATTTATCATTGTGTTGCTAGCACCTAGTATAAGTGCCTGGCATTTATTAGACTCAGCAAATGTTTGTAAATTGAATGAATTAATGAACTGAACATAAGCATATGGACAATTTGGATTTATTCTCTAAATACCAAGAGATAGTGCTTTCAGTTGTTACCTTCAGGGGGCGAGATGCACTTTTCTACCAAAATGCTAGGATTGTCACTTTCATTGGTGGTACACTGGGACCCCACTTGCAGACAAATCCTCTCGTTCAGGGGCACTTCTTTTGAACGATGAGTTTCTGGAGCAATTTTCTAAGGTTAGAAAATAAAAACAGGCATTGCTGTAGCAAACACACAGAAATACACTTAAGTAATAAAACATTAGCATGTCCAAATGTGTTAAAAAGATGGAAAGTTATCAAATGGTATAGGACAGTGATTCTCAATCTGGGGTGATCTGTGCCCTCCCCCAGGACATTCAGTAATGTCTAAGAACATTTTTGGTTGTCATAACTTGGGAGGGGGGTGTTACTGGCCTCTAGTGGGTAGAGGCCAGGGATGCTGCTAAACATCCTACAATGCACAGGACAGCCTCCCCTCCCCGCCTACAACAAAGAATTATCCTGCTCCAAATGTCAGTAATGCCACCGTTGAGAAACCCTGGTATAGACAGAAGACAATTTCCCACATTTTAAATGTATAAACATCATGACATTTACCTATGAACCTACCATGCTAACATATCAACTTTCTAAAAGCAATTTTAAAGGAAACACAATAAGATTATCAAAATTCAATTCTAAGCAGATGCAATAAACCATCAAGATCGAGGTAAAACGGACTGCTTTAAGAATCCAGTAATCCTGCTCACCTCTGAAGACAGGAAGGAAAGAAGGGGGGCCTGAGGGCCAAAGAGAGACTTTTCATTAAACATCTTCCTGTACTGTTTGAGCATTTTGACTATCTCACATATACATATAAATTTTAAGCATTGCTATATACACTGAGTATACCACACTCTTATTCTGAAAAGTATATAAGCTTTGTGGAATCACAGAAAGCCAACTTATAGCCAGCATACAGACAAAAATCACAAATCTGGTTATTATGATTTAGAATAATGAGATTAAAGGGCTCTTTAGGAAATTAACATTTCCCAAGGTGACAGAGTTGGAATAATTAAGAACAGAGCTGCTTTTAATCACAGCTCCAAGGAGCTTCCTGTTTTGCAATAGTTTCTGACTCAAGTTGGAGATAGCATTTCCTTTCATATACGTGCTGATGGCCACGAAAGGAAAAATTCATCACAGTTACCTCTATCTACCACCCTCAGGGGCTACTCTGCCATTTCACGTGCCTGCTGCCAGCTGAGCATGAGGGCAACTGTGAGATACTCTCAAACCAGGACATAAGGATGCCCTCTGAGAGGCAGCTGGCAAATCAACAACTAATGAACCATAGCAAAGATATGAAAAAAAATCACTTTATAGAGACTGAACAGCCCTTAGACACGGGCAAGAGAGCACTCTGAAACGGGAATTAGTTGGTCAGCCCTGGAAGAAAAGAAAAAGAAGTGTCTGTGAGCAAAATTCTAGCAGGGAGAAAAGAGAAAAGAGAGGGTGATTTAGCTCCATGGACATTGAGTATTTCTGTCCCACCAGCAGAGCTATGCCTACCCTCAGCAGGGCCCCCAGCTATTCTTAGCCCAGTACATTTTCACAACTAATTCTTCTTTCCTTGCCAAGAAAACCTACTTATCATTTGGCTTTCCATATAGTTGCTGTCTACAGGGATGGAACATACCAGTTATGCCAACAGAAGCCTTTCTAGAATGTTTCACCATTATAGCTCTCATGGCAAAGCAAGGAATTGGCACTTAGATGAATGTGTGCTAAGGAAATGAGGTTTCTCAGCCTGTGAAGCTGGAGACCAGCCCCAGGACGGTGGTAACGGCAGCAAATCTCCGAATGCAAATTTCACCAACTTCACAAAGTTCCTAAGCACAAGTCCTACATACCCCTGAAGGAGCCACCTTGACCCAAGGATCCTTGATAATTCTTGTTTGGAAGCTGTGTTTGCCCTTTGAGGACACCAGGGGAAAAACGTACAGTCAAGTGCCATAAAGTAGAATCATCATGGAGAAATCCCAGTTCTCTTATTACATTAGATATTGTTCCAGTGAGAGGGCTGAGGAGTTTTACTACACAAATATTTTTATTATAATGGATATTTTTAAACTAAAAAAATACTTTAGTACCTAAATCTGAACCTTATGTTTTGGGCATATAAATAATAAAATAACTTAGAAAAGAGACAGTAGGGAGAAAGATAAAATAATTTCTAAAAATCTTTTTCAAAGTTCAAGGTAAATAATATTAAACTGGCATGAATCAAGTAGGAACTCTAATTGTGAATGATCGCCAAGTCAAACACAACTCTATCAGACAAAGAACTAAATCCTTTCCAGCAGATCTTGTTGAGGTCTGTGTGATGACTCACACGTGACTTTCGTGACTTTCAGCTGTGGTGACTCATTCCACTGGTAGCTAGCTGCTGTAAGACATTATGCTCCACCCCTCAAGGAATCTGGCCTCTGAAAATTTATCAAAAACCAAAGCCAGAGTCCTGAACTGATCCCTCCCCCTCGGGACTAATGTTCATTTGGCTGGACTGCACCTTTCCCAACTCTAGATTCCCTTCTCAGAGTGGGAGGCAGCTTCAGCTTCTGCCTCTCTGGATGCCTGCATGGAACACTGGTCTTTTACTTTAGTTACCTAGTGCAACTTGCCTATCTCTCAGTGAGGAAAGCTATCTGAAATCCCATGCCAGATCCTTCTTCTACTTGCCAGATTGGGGAACTATTACATATTGCTAAAACAATGGTGGAGGGCAGCCTCTTAAGCCAATCTTGTATTTTTTAAACATCATCTATGAATCCCTGTCTTCATCTCATTTTTTTTTTTTTTGGCTGAGGAAGCTTTGTCGTGAGCTAACATTTGTTGCCAATCTTCTTTTTTTTTTCTTTTGCTTGAGGAAGATTCACCCTGAGCTAACATCTGTGCCAATCTTCCTCTATTTCGTATGTGGGTCACCGCCTCAGTATGGCCACCAACGAGTGGTATAGGTCCACACCCGGGAACCGAATCTGGGCCACCAAAGCAGAGCATGCCGAATTTAACCACTAGGCCACGGGGCCGGCCCCTGTCTTCATCTTAATGGTCCTCCAATCTGAAGACTGAAAATAACCTCAAGGTTTTATCTCATTTAGTAATTTGACACCTTTAGACATTCGCATAAGCCCCCTAACATGTACAAACTATCATATCACCATGGCTTTAGTATGCTTCAAAGGATAGATATACCTCCGTTTTGTCTGATGATGTTAATACTGTGTCCAAAGGACAGAAAGAGGAAAGGAAAACCACTCCTCCCATTCGTTCTCAACCTCAGGATGGTAACCTTCAAAAGGTCCAGACAGGAAATCTCCTCTTACTGTTTGGAAGGAATAATCTGTGTTTATCACAACTGTGGGATTGATAACCATAAACGCTGTCAAATGGTTGGAATAAATGAGCAGGCTTTAGGCAGAGGTCACCCTTTATGGTCTCCATCTGGTCTCTTCAGAGGCAAAGACAATAGAGGGGA